CGGCTAATGATGATGGACAACGAAGATACAATCAACAATAGAGTAGCTACGCTTTCTAAATGGAGAAGGTAGACCGCGCGATGCCATTACAGCATGTCAAAATGGCTCAAAAGGAACGACGCAACCACTGGAACTTGAGGTGAGAAATTGCAATATATCATCACTCAGAGAGAAAGAGCAGGAGTTAGATGATGAGACCGTAAGGTAAAAACTCGATACAGTTGGAATCTAGTCAACGAAGAGCCAAGGCACTGGAATCCTGAACCAATGCGCCTGGATAACACTCTATTCAGATGTCGATATCAGTCAGTGTTCTGGTAGAACCTGACCTGGCTAAGAGAATCATTGAATAAAAGTATGTCAAAGGTCTGAAAACGGATTTCCTCCTACGTTGATCTTTTATGTTGAATGACGGTTTCCTCATTCATGTCTGCCGCCCCTCACTTCCCACGCGAGAAACTCATGGCCTGCAGCAAACGGTTTATACTCAACCACGATGCCTAACAACGGCAAGTCGATCTTCATCTTCCATGGCCGCTTCTCTTTTCGGAAAGCGAAGGCAGACGCGTCAGACAGTGCTTCCAACGATACCGATCCTGCGCCAGATTCTGAGTTTTGCCAGAAGATAACAGGAGTGTGGAACAGACTCCATCTATATATTTTCACCAGGATAAACTGGGCTGTCCCATGCGCCTTCTGCCGGTCGGTTTGGCAAGTACCCTTCCTTTCTGGAGGCATTCGCAAAAAATGTCCAAAGCATCGCAGCTGTGACTTCTCAATCTGGAGAAGCAAAAGCTGTATGCCAAGGCTTTTCAGGATATCAATATTCCGGACAATGTTGAGACGTCTCAGGCGAGCGACTTGTCTCAAAAAGCTCCCTTCAGCAGCTTGTACCTGCGTTCGAAGCTTTTCAGTCATCATCCACCACTCCTGACCGTAGGTAGGTAAGGGGATAAAGATCGACTTGATTACCGAGAGCGTACTTTTCACACAATACATCTTTAGTCACAATACTTTGGGCTGATCACACAGAACGCAACTGGCTCCTCCAATTC